TCCTTAGTGCCTGTCATCCAGTTACCCCATCCCCCCCCACCTCCCCTTCTGCAACCCTTTGTTTCCCAGAGTTGGCAATCTCTCATGATTTGTCTTCCTCTCTAATTTTTCCCCACTCAGTTTCCCTCCTTACCCTTATGGTACATTTCACTATTTCTCATATTCCACAAGTGAGTGAAACCATATGATGATTATCTTTCTCCGACTGACTTATTTCATTCAGCATAATACCCTCCAGCTCCATCTACATCAATGTAAATGGTATTTGTCCTTTCTGATGGCTGAGTTATATATATATAATATATATATATATATATATTATATATATATATATGCCATGTCTTCTTTATCCATTCATCTGTCAAAGATCATTGTGACTCCTGCCACAGTTTGGCTATTGTGGGTATTGCTGCTATGAACATTGGGGTGCAGGTGTCCCATCGTTTCACTGCATCTGTATCTCTGGGGTGAGTACCCAGTAGTGCAGATGATGGATTGTAGGGTAGCTCTATTTTTAACTTCTTGAGGAACGTCCACACTGTTTTCCAGAGTGGCTGCACTAGTTTGCATTCCCACCAACAGTACAGGAGAGTTCCCCCTTCTCCACATCCTCTCCAAAATTTATTGTTTCCTGTCTTGTTAATTTTCGCTATTCTCACTGGTGTGAGGTATCTCATTGTGGTTTTGATTTTTATCTCCCTGATGGGAAGTGATGTGAAGCATTTTTTCATCTGTCTGTTGGCCATGTGTAAGTCTTCTTTGGAGAAATATCTGTTCATGTCTTTGCCCATTCCAGTCAGACTGGATTGTTTGTTTCTTGGGTGTTGAGTTTGATAAGTTCTTTATAGATCTTGGATACTAGCCATTTACCTGATATGTCATTTGCAAATATCTTCTCCCATTCTGTAGGTTGTCTCAGATTCTCTTCTTAAAGGGAGACTGATTATTCTGTTTTCACCTTCCTTCTTGGTTATAAATTCCTTAAGTACAGGGACTGTGCATTTATAAGTTTGATCTTTCTACCTTTACTCCCACCCCCAGTAAAAAGTATTTAACTATTTCATTTCCCTGCGAGAGGGAAGGTAGTGCCACAGCCATTAAGAAAGTATGTCTTTCCTTAAAGCTACTGTTCAACAAGCTCCAGGGGTCTCTTCAAGCTTCAATCCAATAACAAATATCACTTAGGCACTTTCTGTGTATTAGGGGTGGCAAGAAGGTGTATAAAGAAGCAAAGTGCTTGCTGTCTGAGATTTCCTATTCCAGGGAGAGGCAGGGCACCTTCCCTGCCCTACGGCTTTGCATACACTAGGTGTGTGTTTAATAAATGCAACACAGCAAGGAAAAAGCAAATGATAAGAGACATCCTACAAGTGTAAGAAATGACTCACATAAATGTGGGGGAGAAAATGGTATTCTTTGGATAAAGGTAGAAAATGGAAACCTTCCATTCTAGGTATTAAATCATCATCAACTTAAACTACCAGCACTTAACTTTCAGAGTGACGACAGGAGGACAACCTACCTAGGTTTCATGAATAGAGAAAGCAGGGCTCCTAAGTTAAAAGGGCAATTATGGGATTTGTAGGGGCAAATTATCTAAATCAGGAAGGCGTGTGCAGATTCTTTGCCTTTGGTTTAGGTATTGTTTTTCAAGATTTTATTTATTTATTCATGAGAAACAGAGAGGCAGAGATACAGGCGGAGGGAGAAACAGGCTCCCTGCAGGGAGCCCAATGCAGAACTCTGTCCCTGGGATCAGACCCTGGGATCACAACCTGAGCTGAAGGCAGACCCTCAACCACTTAGCCACCAGCCACTGGGAGGTGTTCTTTTTATTTTTTTTTTTATGTTAGTCAGAGAGAGAGAGAGAGAGAGAGAGAGAGAGAGAGAGAGGCAGAGAGAGAGGCAGAGACATAGGCAGAGGCAGAGGCTCCATGCACCGGGAGCCTGATGTGGGATTCGATCCCGGGTCTCCAGGATCGCGCCCTGGGCCAAAGGCAGGCACCAAACCGCTGCGCCACCCAGGGAATCCCTCTTTTTCTAATTAAAGTATTGGCTTAAACAATAAGGGAGCCATGCAGTTTTAGAATTATTCAGGATTAGGGTTAACTTGGCATCTTTTTCTTTTATAAAACAAGGATAATTTTTCAGACCAGAATCTGGGAGATCAGTTTAATTGAAAACTATCTCCTGAAAGCCCAGCAACTCTGTCGAAGCCTCAGATCTGATTTATTTTTTTTTAAATTTTATTTATGATAGTCACAGAGAGAGAGAGAGAGAGAGGCAGAGACACAGGCAGAGGGAGAAGCAGGCTCCATGCACCGGGAGCCTGACGTGGGATTCGATCCCGGGTCTCCAGGATCGCGCCCTGGGCCAAAGGCAGGCGCCAAACCGCTGTGCCACCCAGGGATCCCCCTCAGATCTGATTTAAGTACTAAGTCTTTACGTTATACTTTTAATACTAGAATGGCTATTTACATAATGCTATAAATATTAAGTTTTTTTTTAAAGATTTTAATTTATTCATGAGAGATACAGAGAGAGAGAGAGAGGGAGAGACACAGACAGAGGGAGAAGCAGGCTCCATGCAGGGAGCCCAACATGGGACTCAATCCCGGGTCTCCAGGATCATGCCCTGGACCGAAGGCAGGCGCTAAACCGCTGAGCCACCCAGGGATCCCTAAATATTAAGTTTTATTTTGAGAATTAAGCCAACAACCCTGGATGTTACTGATCTACTTGAATATACAGTGTATCGTCAATGTTTTTTTTTTATTCTTTTTAAGATTTTTTATTTATTCATTCATTCATAGAGATGCAGAGAGAGAGAGAGGCAGAGACACAGGCAGAGGGAGAAGCAGACTCCACGCAGAGAGCCCGACGCGGGACTCGATCCAGGGTCTCCAGGATCATGCCCTGGGCTGCAGGCGGCGCTAAACTGCTGCACCACCTGGGCTGCCCTCGTCAATGTTTTTTTTCCACATACATATAAGGAAAGTACATTCCATAAGAAAATCATAGAGAGAAGTGCCTGCATGGTTTAAGGTCTGCTCAGGTCATGATCTGAGGATCAGATCTGCATGGTTTGCTGCTTCACCTCATTTAACTCCTGACTAAAGTGTCACCTGGCTACACTACTTAAGATAGCAACAGTTGCCTGGCTGTCTCCATCAGTAGAGCATGTGACTCTTGATCATGGGGTTTTGAGTTTGAGCCCCAAGTTGGGTGTAGAGATTATGTAATTAAAAATAAAATAAAACAGCAACAGTTGCCTTAGCTACATAATGTGCTCAAAGCTACTAAAAGGGAAATGGGGTTCAAATCCACTGTCTATATTAAAACCCGAATCTTAAAAAACAAACAAACAGGGATCCCTGGGTGGCGCAGCGGTTTGGCGCCTGCCTTTGGCCCAGGGCCCGATCCTGGAGACCCGGGATCGAATCCCACATCAGGCTCCTGGTGCATGGAGCCTGCTTCTCCCTCTGCCTGTGTCTCTGCCTCTCTCTCTGTGTGTGACTATCATAAATAAATAAAAAATTAAAAAAAATAATTAAAAAACAAACAAACAAACCTGGATCTTCTCAACATTCCATGTTTCCTTGTGTAACTGTTTTAAAGTTTATTAAAGATTTTTTAAAAAGATTTTATTCTAAAAAATAAATAAAATCTTTTATTCTATTTATTCATGAGAGACACAGAGAGAAAGAGAGGCAGAGACACAGGCAGAGGGAGAAGCAGGCCCCACTCAGGGAGCCCAAAGTGGGACTCGATCCCGGGTCTCCAGGATCTCACCCTGGGCCACCTGGGCTGCCCTATTAAAGATTTTTAAATGGGGGTACCTGGGGGGTTCAGTCCATTGGACATCTGCCTTCGGCTCAGGTCATGATTCCAGGGTCCTGGGATTAAGCCCCCACTCCCCCATGCCAGGGCTCCCTGCTCAGTGGGGAGTCTGCTTCTCCCTCCCTCTGCCCTTCCCCTAGCTCATGCTCTCACTCTCTCTCTCTCTCTCTCAAATAATTAAAATCTTAAAAAAAAAGATTTGTATAGAAGTATATGCATCTTTACAGTGGCTTTTGACTTTTGTTGTTGTTTAGAAACTGTCCAAATGCAGTCTTAAAATTTTTTTAAAATTTTATTTAAATTCAGTTAATTAACATATAGTGTATTAGAAGTTCAGCAATCAGTAGAGTTCAGCGATTCATCAGTTGTATATAACAAATGCTGTCTTGGGACGCCTGGGTGGCTCAGTGGTTGGGCATCTGCCTTGGCTCAGGGCATGATCCCAGTTTAGGGATCAAGTCCCGCATCGGGCTCCCTGCATGGAGCCTGCTTCTCCCTCTGCCTGTGTCTCTGCCTCTCTCTGTGTCTCTCATGAATAAATAACAACGAACAAATGCTGTCTTAATTCAAAGTGTAAATACATAAAGCAGACAAAGGCAGAGTTGCTGCATTTGAGTTTGTTTGGGTTGGGGCCTGAGTCCTGTCCCCATGGCTTCTTTGTCCTCTTGTCTGCCTCTGGGGGAACTCCCAGAACTGCTTCCTTCTGGTCCAGCTTCAAATCCATTACCTAAGCCACAGCCAGCCAATGACTCTTCCCTGAAAGCTGTTCCAGCTTTTTGATCAAGCCTTTGAATGGAGCTTTGCCAGGATATCTCCCCACAGATCCAATTTCGGCAACAAGTGGCATTGAAATGCTAAAAGAAACACTAGCGATGAAATACAATGATTTTTGAGGACAGCTGCCAAATTCTTAGCTTTTGCATCTTGAGTGAATATTGAGACTTCTTTTTTTTTTTTTTTTTTTTTATTTATGATAGTCACAGAGAGAGAGAGAGAGAGGCAGAGACACAGGCAGAGGGAGAAGCAGGCTCCATGCACCGGAAGCCCGACGTGGGATTCGATCCCGGGTCCCCAGGATCGCGCCCTGGGCCAAAGGCAGGCGCCAAACCGCTGCGCCACCCAGGGATCCCTTCTTTTCTTTTTTAAAAATTGTTTTTAAGGTATTGACTTTGCTACTCGTAAGATAGCCAAGTTGCTGAAGCCACAGAAAGTGATTGAGCAGAACGAAGATTCTTTTACCATCCACACCTACAGCAGTTTGAGGAACTACCTTGTTACATTTAAAGTTGGAGAAGAATTTGATGAGGATAATAAAGGCCTGGATAACAGAAAATGCAAGGTAAAAAAAATTCAAATGATACCATAGGCTCTTGATTTTCCAAGATTAACTGGGCCTTCTTGGTACCAGTTGAGGAGCCTGCCAGAGCAAACCAGCATCTTCTCCCCTCTCTCATCCAGAGCTTGGTCACTTGGGACAATGACAGACTCACCTGTATCCAGAAGGGGGAGAAGAAGAATAGAGGCTGGACCCACTGGATGGAAGGAGACAAACTCCACTTGGTACTTACTACATTTTGTTCTTGCATCTAATGGGACTATGCGGTATGAAACCATGCCAGCATTCCCACCATTCCAACCCACTGTTTTTGATTTGGCATGTGGGTTACCTCCCAGGTGCTGCCAGAATGTTCTGCTTTTATCTTTTTCTTTAAAAAAGATATTTTATTTATTTATTCATGGGAGACACACACACACAGAGAGAGAGAGAGGCAGAGACACAGGCAGAGGGAGAAGCAGGCTCCATGCAGGGAGCCCGATGCAGGACTCAGTCCCAGGTCTCCAGGATCATGCCGTGGGGGGAAGATGGCACTAAACCGCTGAGCCACCCGGGCTGCCCATAAAATAACTTTCTTGTTGAATTCATCATATATTAATTGAAAAAAATATATACTATATTAAAATATTTATATATACATATATATGCATAATAAAGTAGCAAACTGGCTGCATAATATTCTATCAGGTTGGTGAACTATCATTTTTGGAAAACATTTCCATAATTTCAGTGTCCAGGAATATTGTTTAAGGGTGTTTTCTGCTATTGCTTATATTCATGTAAATAGAGCTTTTTGCATCCATGGACTGATTTCCTTAGGAAGAATCCACAGGGGAAAAAAAAAGAATCCACAGGGAGTATCACTGTTAGAGGCACACATATTATTGCTGCTCAACTTAGTTGCCACACCCATTTCCAAAAGATTGTCACATTGCTGACGCCACCAGCACTTCATGAGCATACAGGTTACAGCTCAAGCTAATCAATAATTTCTAAATATAACTTAGAAGGTATAGAGGCACCTGGGGGGCTCAGATGGTTGAGTGTCCCACTCAATTTTGGCTCAGGTCTTGATCTCAGGACTGAGTTTAAGCCTCACATTGGGTTCCATGGTGGGTGTGGAGCATACTTAAGAAAAATAAAAAAGAGAGAAGGTATAAAATTGTATATCAAAGCTTAATTATGGCTTTTTAAATGAGAATTGCTTCCTGCCATATATTTCATAACAGCTTACATCCTTTGAGCGATGCTTTTGTGCTCAATTACTGTGCTAAATCTTTGTGCATTATCTCACTTGGTCTCCAAGACAGTCCTGTGAAAGGGACACTGTTTTTCCCCATTTACAAATTTAGAGATTGAGATTTAGAAATTTCCCAAGGCTGCCAAGTAGAGTTTCAAATCCAGGTCTGAGGGATCCCTGGGTGGCGCAGCGGTTTGGCGCCTGCCTTTGGCCCAGGGCGCGATCCTGGAGACCCAGGATCGAATCCCACATCGGGCTCCCGGTGCATGGAGCCTGCTTCTCCCTCTGCCTGTGTCTCTGCCTCTCTCTCTCTCTCACTGTGTGCCTATCATAAATAAATAAAAAAAAAATTTTTTTTAAAAAAAAATCCAGGTCTGACAAAAATGTGTACTTTCAACTCTGTGCCTTTTTGCCTCAATGTACATGAAATCTAAGCCAAAAGACCCGTGGAAACAAAATTAGAGCATTTATCTTAAAACTGAATGTGGGTGGTCTTTGAGGGTCTGGGTAGTCTTTGATTACAAAGGCATTGGAGATATTTTGATTCTTGGGGTGCCTGACTGGCTTAGACATAGAGCATGCCACTCATGGTCTCAGGGTTGTGAGTTGGGTGTGGAGCATACTTAAAAAAATTTTTTTTTAAATTTTAGATCAATCTTACACTCTTCTGAAAATAGAAACAAAATTAAGAAACTTGCCATCACAAAAATGTAATACAGAACTTCAAAGAAAACACAAATACATTTGAGGATACAGATTAGTTGGCTCTAAGAAGTATGTTCAAATTGCATGCATCCTTCCATGGCATATCTGTGAACTCTGCCCAAGCAGAGGGGAGAAGGATACTCCCAGGACAATCCCTCCATGCTGTGATATAATAGAGAATAAGTATTTGGTTTTTGTACCTGGCTCCTAAAACCCTTGGTGTCTCCAGAGTAATTAACGAGTGTCTCCTATAGACTAATGAGATAATTGGTGGCTACAATCCCTCAGATGGGCAAAGATTTAATCAGTCATGCCTACATAGCAAAACCTCCAGAAACATCCCTAACTGAGAGAATTCGAAAAGCTTCCTAGTTGGTGAAAACATTGACTTGCTGGGAGAATAGCATTCCTGGAGGGAGCATGGAACGCACCCCTATACTGTGTCCTGCATCTCCCTATTTGGCTGTATCCTTTATAATAAATCTGTAAATAGTGTTTCTGGGAGGTGTTCTAGCAAATTATTGAAACTGAGGAGGGGGTCACGGGAATCCCATTAATAGCTGGTCGATCAGAAGTTCGGGTGGCCTAGGACTGGTGATTGATGTCTGAAGTAGGGGCAGTTTTTTTAAAAAAATATTTTATTTATTTATTCATGAGAGTCACAGAAAGAGAGAGAGAGAGAGAGAGAGAGAGAGAGAGAGAGAGGCAGAGACACAGGCAGAGGGAGACACAGGCTTCACGCAGGGAGCCTGGTATGGGACTCGATCCTGGGTCTCCAGGATCACGCCCTGGGCTGAAGGCAGGTGCCAAACCACTGAGCCACCTGGGCTGCCCAGTAGGGGCAGTTTTTGAGACTGAGCCCTTAACTTGTGGGGTCTGCACTAACTCTAGGTTGTTAGTGTCAGAATTGAATTGAATTGTTGGATGCCCTGTTGGAAAAGATACCAAGTTTTTGGTGTCAGAAGTGTTGTGAATAATGTGCCCACTCATCTTCTTTCTCCTTCCATTCCTCCATATTCCTAGGAAATGTTCTGTGAAGGCCAAGTGTGTAAACAGACGTTCCAGAGAGCCTGAACTGCGTCCAGCAACAGAACCCACGTGTGACTGCAGTTGAATGTTGAATTCTATTCTAAAATGAAGAGATGCTAATCTGTCTTGGTTTGGTGATGGGAACTTGTGGTCAGAGACCTGTCCTACAGCTTGTACCAGAAGCCATTTACTCAGATTATGGGAAGACGCTCAGTTCAATAAACCTGTCCAATGACTCTGACTTTTTCTCCTAAATTTAGCATACCCCATTATTTTAAGTGTTTGAAAGCCTTCTAGGGGCACTATGGACTAATGAGCAGGATGTAATTCTGTCGTCAAGGTTTAGTGAGGAAAATGGGCAAAACAAGCAGTCTGAACATCCAGCAGTGATAAGTACAGGCAGCTATGAGAGCTCAGTAGGGGAAGCCTGACTTTTGGGGATGGGTGAGTGGTGGCAGGGGTCAGGGGTAGCGGAGGCGATCTCTAGGCTCCAAACTGAAGCAAAGGTAGGCAGGAAGCATCGGGAAGCATTCTAGGTAAATGCCTGGGGGGTAAGTTGGAGGCATGTTTGAGGAACTGAAAGATTGTTTTTGCTAGAGCAGGGGTATACATGGGTGGAGCAGCAAGAGATGTCAGGGGAGACTGGCAGGGAAGGCAGGCAGGGGCACAATTAGGAAGAATCTTGAACACTGGCTTACAGAGGTAAGATTTGTCCCCAAAGTAGTAGGGAGATGGTGACTGGCATGAAGCAGGAGATCTGCACAGCCAGCTGGCTCACAGAAGGGAACCCCAAATGCATGTGAAAGAAGGGACTAGCGGTGTGGGACGCAATGCAGGCACCAGTTTAGAAAGCACTGCTAGCAATCCCAGTGTGAGGTGGTGGTGGTCAGGAGCGCCTGGCGCCCAAGTCTCAAATACAGTGAATGGGCTCAGGGCTGGAGAGAAATAGCTAATTACTTAGGACTCAGAATCCATCGTCCAAGGTTGGGATGATGGAAGGGGAAATCAAGGAAGATGCTCTATTTGGGGTTGAGGCAACTATAGGAAAGAAGGTTGAAGCTAATCAGAAAGAAGACAATACAAACAGAAGAATGATCTCTGGCTTTTGAGGGACCTGTGCCTGGTGTAAGATCAGCCATCAGGAGACAATGTCAAGCACATAAACTGCATATGGATGGAATTGCCTGGGACATTGTTTGTTTGTTTATGATTTTATTTATATGTGATCTCTACACTGAAGGTAGGCTTGAACTTACAATCCTGAGATCAAGAGTGGCGTGTTCTACCGACTGAGCCAGCCAGGCGCCCTGGGGACATTGTGTCCAAGTAAGAAGAGACAAATTGAGGTACAAAAGGGTGCTAGCAGGGGGGACCAGAGGGGCTGGAGAAACAGGGTGGCATCAGGGAAGGGAAGGCAGGACACATTTCAGGGTTCAGGCAGTGGTGGGCGCTCGGGGAGATGCCCAAGGCAGCAATAAGTGAAGATGGATCCATCTGCCTCAGGGAGGAAGGGGGTGTGCAGGGCTGGTTGCCCCCAGGGTGTGCCACGGGTGGAGGTGAGCAAGGACAGACAGCGAGTGTGTGGCTGAGAATTGGCAGGATGTGGGGGTGTTTCAGGGAGGCTTGTGAGGGGGTGACCAGTTCAGACGGGGGACTGCGGGATCACGGAGTCCGCAGGAAAGTCAGGAGTGCTCCTGATGTGCTAGGCCCTCGGGGGTGGAGGGGTGGGGCTGTAAGTGGCTCCTCCTCTCCTTGGAGAGCAGTGAGGAAGGCCCTGTGCCCATCAGGCGCTCACAGGCTGCAGGCAATGACAGATTAAAGTCTGAGTATCAGATACAACTCTTGTTTCAGCTAACGGAAACCAACTTGTTAGTGTGATCTCTGAAGCCATGACTTTATTTTCTTTTTAAGATTTTATTTATTCGGGATCCCTTGGTGGCGCAGCGGTTTAGCGCCTGCCTTTGGCCCGGGGCGCGATCCTGGAGGACCCGGGATCGAATCCCACGTCGGGCTCCTGGTGCATGGAGCCTGCTTCTCCCTCTGCCTGTGTCTCTGCCTCTCTCTCTTTCTGTGTCTCTCATGAATAAATAAATAAAATCTTTAAAAAAAAGATTTTATTTATTCATGAGAAAGACAGAGAGAGAGAGGCAGAGACACAGAGGCAGAGACACAGGCAAAGGGAGAAACAGGTTCCATGTTTTGGAGCCTGATGTGGGACTTGATCCTGTGACTTCAGGATCACACCCTGGGCCAAAGGCAGGCACTAAACCACGAGCCACCCAGGGACCCCAGAAGCCATGGCTTTAGGGCCAGAGAAAGTCAGAAGGCTGTTGTGGATCCCATTAGATATTGTGAACCCACCAAACAGAAAGACCATGAAACCGACTGGGGCTAGAATCAGGCGGTAAATGGATTAGCTGAGGTTGCAGATTGACTGCTGACTGGGGAATCATGCGGTAAGTAATCCGAATCTGGGGCTGTGGGCTGTGCGGCCTCCCTTTTTTGGAAATCTCCTCCCTGATATGATGTTATTGCTTGGAGGCAATTCGAAACAATAGGCCCTTGCGGGAGGCAACATTTTCTCCGCATTTATTAATTTATCCAAACATGAGTAAATGTGTGAATGCCTGGAATTTAGCAGTGAACAAAATGAAAAATTTCTCCCCTCATGGACCTTCCATTCCCATGGGAGATAGATAATAAATATAAGTTAAAAATAGAGCGAATCAGGGGTGCCTGGATGGTGCATTGGGTTAAGAGTCTGACTCTTGATTTCAGCTCAGGTTGCAATCTCAGGGTTGTGTGATCGAGCCTTGCGTCAGGCTCCATGCTCAGCACGAAGTCTGCTTAAACTCCCCCTCTCTCTCTTTCTCTCTCTCTCCTCCTCCTCCCTCTGCACTCTCTCTCTCTCTAAAATAAATAAATCTTTAAAAAGTATATAGCACATCAGATAGTGATAAGAGCTACAAGTAATAACAGAAGTCAGGACGTTGGTGGTGCTCTTCAAGTAGGATGGTTAAGAAAGACTCAGAAAAGTGTGACATTTAGGCAGAGTCATAAGATGAGAAACAAGATGTGTGGATAGCTGAGGGCAGAGAATCAGTGCGAAGGCCCTGGGGTGAGGCGATATGTGGTGTGCTGGAGGTGCAGCCAGGAGGCTGAGGGAGCAAGGCCAGGAGTATGAGGAGACCAGGTTGCCTTTGGCAGAGCCGAGAACCTTCAGCAATCTTACCTGCTAAGACTTATAGCATTCTACTCCTGGCCCCTCCTCTAATTTGTTCTTAATTTAAAAAAGTAAAGAAGTAGAAGTCTTATCAATCAACTGCAATATGTGGAGCTTGTGTATATCCTAATTAAAAGAAAGCAAACAGGGGCAGCCTGGGTGGCCCAGTGGTTTAGCGCTGCCTTCAGCCCAGGGCGTGATCCTGGAGACCCAGGGTTGAGTCCCACATCAGGCTCCCTGCATGGAGCCTGCTTCTCCCTCTGCCTGTGTCTCTGCCTCTCTGTGTGTGTGTCTCTAATAAATAAATAAAATCTTATAAAAATAAAATAAAGAAAGCAAACATAAAAAGACCTATCTTAGGGCCCCTGGTTGGCTCAACTGGAATAGCATGAGACTCTTTTTTTTTTTTTTTTGACGATTTTATTTATTTATTCATGAGAGACAGAGAGGGGCAGAGATACAGGCAGAGGGAGAAGCAGGCTCCATGCAGGGAGCCGAATATGGGACTCGATTCCAGATCCCGGGATCACGCCCTGATCTGAAGGCAGATGCTCAGCTTAGCCACCCGGGGATCCCTTTATTTATTTTTTAAGATTTGATTTATTTATTCATGAGAGACCCAGAAAGAGAGGCAGAGACACAGGCAGAGGGAGAAGCAGGGAGAAGTGGGCTCCCTGCTGGGGATCCCGAGTAGGTACTCGATCCCAGAACCCCAGGATTACCACCTGAGCCGAAGGGAGATGCTCAATCACTGAGCCACCCAGGTGTCCAGAAAATGTTTCATTCATTCATTCATTCATTCATTCATTCATTCATTCATTCATTCAAGACACACACACACACACACACACACACACACACACACACACAGAGAGGCAGAGACACAGGCAGAGGGAGAAGCAGGCTGCATGCCAGGAGCCCGATGCGGGACTCGATTCCGGGTCTCCAGGATCACGTCCTGAGCCGAAGGCAGATACCCAACCACTGAGCCACCCAGGCGTCCCCAAAATGTTTCTTTCAAAATCAGTTCCTGAGCGTCTGCCTTTGGCTCAGGGTGTAATCTCTGGATTCCGGATCAGGATCGAGCCCCGCATTGGGCCCCTTGCGGGGAGCCTGCTTCTCGTGTGTCTCGGCGTCTCTGTGTGTCTTTCGTGGATAAATAAATAACATCTTAGAACAACAACAACAATTCCTCACTTAAGCAGCACACATCACAGTGTACGATTGTTTACTCTCAATAGGACTGCGGAGATGTGTTTCTTCAGGCATTTCTTAGGAAAGTTTTAAGTGCTAGAAATCAAAGGGAAAAAGGCAACTTCCTGAGACCGTCCGCCTTCCCGCTCTCCAAGAAGGATGGGCACCCAGCTTCCTGGGGCCTTAGTTCGGCCTCCGACACGGATCCCCGGTCCCTCCCAGACGCCCGCCCTTCCCTCCTCCCTCCTGCCCCTCCCCCCGTAGCCCCCTCCCCCGCCCCGGCACCCGCCCGGCCGCAGACGCCGCGCCCCCTCCACGGCGAGTCCGGGCAGGGCTGCAGGGTTGGCCCCGCGGCTCCGGCCCAGTGGAGCGCCTGCGGGGCGTGGGGGCCGCGGGGCTCCCGCCGTCGGTCCCGGGCCTTGCTGCCGGGCGCCCTGGGCGCCGCCTGGGGGAGCTGCAGGGGGAGCTGCGGGCTCCTCCGGCCGCTGAGGCTGCTCCGGGGTCCGGCGCCTGGCGGGGAGCGCCCCCTCCTGGCCCGCAGGCACCTTCGCCTCCGCGCCGCGGGCCGCTGCGCAGGCCGGGGGTGCGGGGTGCGGGGTGCGGGGTGCGGGGTGGGGGGTGGGAGGCCCTCGCTCTTCTTTAATTTTTTCAGTGTTTAGATTTAGGATGTTTTGTTTACATAACATTACATTTTATCATTTTTTACAGTTTTTAAGAGTGCAGGGCATTAAAATATTTTATTCATTTATTCATGAGAGACATAGGGAGAGAGGCAGAGACACAGGCAGAGGGAGAAGCAGGGAGCCGGATGGGGGACCTGGATG